TTTATTTTCCTCTATTTCTCTTCTTTTTTTATATGTTCTCTCTATCAACATTATTTATTTGCATACTTATAAGATACAAAGAAACCTCCACACATGAAAATTTAAGACCAAAGTGTACTATGTTTTTTCTGTGACATTTATGTGGAAGAAGACATTTGAGTTGACACTAATGTATGTTATGCCAAGTGGAAAGGAGACACTTCATTTAAAATGCATTAACTTCTTATATTAACATATGTGATTAACTTATTAACATTTTGAAATGAAAATTAGATATAATATTTAAAATATGAAATTAATATTGAGATAGTGTCGGCGTAGTTTCTTTTACATATTTATCGAATTACATCACTATTTAATATTATTTTTTAAAATTTATTTTAAAGATAGTTTAATAAAATATCTATTCAGGTTAGAGTCATAATTGTGATGGATTAGTGATGATGAATTACAGTGGTGTGGACTTTCGAAGCGGCGACGTAAGAGTGAATCTATAAGTTTAACACTTCAATATCAAGCCAATTAAGAGTCTAAAGTGAATAAAAAGTAAGTTTGAGATGAGATAATATATCTTATGTCACTCCTGAAAACCAGCTCCCCCTCTGTGAGAGCAAATTTTCATTCATTTTTAGTAATCTTTGCATGAATGTTTCCTTTATTTTGGAACAAAATACTTTTCATCTTGTATTTAACCTTCACTCTTTTTGCTTGCTCTCGTCCTCCACATGTAATTCTTACCTTAAACTCATTTCCTCATTTCCAATCTTTATTTTCGCTATAGGTCATATAAATTATCACCCTATAAGTCTGTCTAATGATTTAGGGATAGTGGTTCCTCTCACTCATTATCATAGAAACCTCAGCTAGTTTACACTCCAACCTTTCTGCTCTCCCCTAATTTTTGACCCAAGATTCTACTTCATATGCATCATTGCATCTATAACAAAATACAAAAATAGCTTGTGTTTGCTCTTTGTGTCAAATAGAGTTTTGAATCAAGAAATCCCCATCAATATAAGTCTTAATCAAATTAGGGTTTTAATTAAAGTGAATCATTGACTTTTGGCTCAGTGCATGACCTAATATCTTGAGGCATGATTCAAATAACTCAAGTGTAATATCTTGACCTAATTACATGGCTCGAGACATTCTTAAAGATACAATTGTCTGATGGTGAAAGAATTGGAATCAACTGATGAAAAGTCAATTGTCACACCAAAGTCAAACTTCGACTTTTTGGTCAACTTTGGACTTCAAGGATCAAGGGTCATCAAAACATTCAAAATTATCAAACTTGTGCATGAAGAATCAAGAGAATCAAGAAAAGTCAACAAAAGCCAAAGGTTGAAGATTTTGGACACTTAGAAAATTCAAGTGTTTTTACACCTAAAGAGCCCTAACTTCACAAGCAAGTTTCACAAAAATGAAAGTTGATTCAAAGGAAACTTTCAATATAAAAGCTGTAGGGAATGAAAAATTTATGCAACTTTGTCGATGAGGTTTGATCTCCAAAAAATGCTCAAATTAAGAGTTATGGGCATGTGAACTTTTGCCAACACTTAGAAAAAATATTAAACAGTTTTTGACCTAAAAAAAGTGACCAATTTCATAGACAATTTACACTATGATCTAGATTGATTCAAGAAAAGTGTTCAATATGAAAGTTGTAGATAATATTTTAGGCTTTCCAAAATGTCAAAGAGCATGAATTTATCATACTTGAGAAAGGAGCTTCAAATTTATAAAGATGGGTGTCCAAGGTTGCATTACAAGTCATTTTTGTGATGACGTAAAGACCAAATCCCTAAGCCATGCTACATAATCTCACTTTGCAGCCCATAGTACCTCTAAATATATCCAAGATCAAAAGATTACACAAGTTTTCAAGCCATTGTCCAAGTGATACAACCTATTATTCATTTAACTTGCCATTTTTAGAAGAAAGTTACCAATACCATTCTTGAAAAGTAAGCTTTTTGTACAAAGCATGTCTTGAGCCCATACCACTGCTCTCTTCTGATCACACTCCACCATGAATCAAAGAAACAATGTCTCTTCACCAGCCTTTCCTTGTATTTGACCTTGAAATCACAAATTTGCAAGATTTCTTCTCAACTAAGTTTTACAAACTTTGTGCTTCAAACTGGTCAATTTCAAACCCTAATATTTACCTATAAATAAAGATCATTTCTACACTTAAAAACAACCAATTCATAGCTCCAGAACACCCTCATACTCTCTCAAATTCTGAAATTTCTCAAAAACTCCATTAAAGCTCCAAAAACACCATTTCTTTGAAACTCCCAACTCTTGCCATATCTTTGCAAGTTAACCATCCTAACACTTCATAAACATCATAAAGAACTCATCCATACCCATGTTACACTTCTGTAACATCATCATCACCATCCTCCAAACTCCATAATCGAAGCTCGCAACTTGACTTGGTTGGAGTGATTCAATAACTTCCAGCACAAAGTAAGAATTGGAATAGGTTCCTGGAAGTCCAAGGAAGCTTAATCAATCATCACATTACACTGAAAGGCCATAGAAGAAGCATTGGACTTTCTTCAATTTGGTAAATTTTTTAAATGGTGATATCCATATACATGCATCATTTGTGTTTGATTTCAAAAGATAAAATATAGATATCAATGTCCTGAAGCTAACCATATAATTAGTTTTCATTAATTTTGCCCGTGGAGTGAGAATTGAAGCTTTGACCAGTTAGAGTTCGTTTTCTGTACCAATATAAATTCTTTTATTTTTTGAGTGTTAATTAAAATAGTTGGCATGATTGAATTCGTGATTAAATTTTAAGTAACTTTGATGTTTGTAGTTTTTAAAATGGTTGAGAATCGAAGAAGTTTGAATTTCAAAATGGTGTTGTTGTTGTTATCTGCACGAGGAAGAAGAAGAAGAGGAAATTTAAATTTCTGAAAATAAGTTTATTTTATATTTAATGATAGTTGTATTATGACCAGATATAACAACCACCTCAACGACAAGAAGCGCGTGCCCGTGACCTATAGGGAGTGGTTTTGAACCTGCTGGTGCCCACCCCTATTTTTACAATTTGTTTTCTTCAATATTTTTCACCTTTTTTTTGCAATTTTCATTCAATTTTTTCACCAATCAAACTAATCCTTTTTAAGCCAATTTTTTGCACACTCCTTGTTTATTACCTTTATTTTATGAATATAAGAAAAAATTCCAAAAATATTATTTATTTAACCCTTTTTTTATTTAATTCAAAATTAGTCCTTTTTTATAGTTTTAAAAGACTTTTTTTTTCATTAGTTCCTTGTTGATTTCTCAATTAAAATCATTTTTGGATGACCACCCCATGTCTTTAATGAATGTTTCTTGATAACATGACCCTTGTATGTATTTGTACCATTAATAATTTAATTTTTATTAGGTTTAGGACTTCAGTTTTTGATGATAAGCCATAACTTGTTCAAAAACTCTAATTCATGATTCATGACTTATCCCCTTGATTGTTTATCCATGTGTCTTGAGTATACTTCCCCTTTAAGGATGTATTTCCTTCATAAAGTCCTTTAATCCAAAGTGATATCATACTTGCTTGTCCACTTGTTGTTTATTCTATCTTTTGTCACAATTTTTATTTGATAAAGATACTAACCTCCCCCTTGTGCTCAATCCTTGTGATGTGTGTTTGCTATTGTGTTAGTAATTAAATGTTAAATACTTGTGCCCCTAAAATCTAAGGAAAATGATATTATTATTGACGTTATAGTCATAAGCATGTGCATTCCCCTTTTTATAAAATTCTTCTGAATAATCACCCTATGTATCTTCATATACTCTAAAGAACCTCTTAAACCCTAAAAATCATTTTCAAACTTTACCACTTTCATATAAAAACTTTGACCTTGTGTCATTGTATTTTCAAACTTTCTTTTTAATCAAATGCTTCAATATACTTAAGCTTATCAAAATGATTTCAAAAGATTAAAAGTGATTTAACCTCACTCAAATCTTTTTGCCACTTAGCTTTTCAATTTAAAACCTTTTCTCGAAGAGATTAGATATAAATCCTACTTATAGTTGATAAATGATTCTCCTATCCTCATAGTAATAGTTGAAGTAAATGTGATTCTTTACACATGAAGACGTTGATTGTGTCATACCCTAAATTTATCCACTTTATTTTAAAATTGGTTTTATCAATTTCTTTGGGTTACTTACAATAATATTTTGGAATCTATAAATATGTATTTTAAATTTATTTTTTCTTATTTAAAAAATATACAATAGTTTATTTTAAATTATTTGTATTTCTTAAATAGCAAATACGTGCTCGCTTTCATATACTTTCAATTAATTTTTTATTTCAAATAAGTAATATAACACAATTGGTAAGGGAACCAATTTTCAAATATAAGGTAAGAGTTTAAATCTCACTTGTGCACTTTGCATTTTTTTCTTCTATTTATTGTTACTAATATTATTCTTATATCAAATTATATCAAAAAAAATATTATTATTTAAATATTATTTTTCGTATTTTTAATTAATACATTTTTAAAAATAATTATTTATTTAATTTTATATATTTTTAAACAAAAAATAGTACAAAAATCATAATAAATACAAAAAATATTTTCTTTTCTAATTAACTTTTCTCATTGGTCAATTGATGTCAATATGAATCATACTCACCTTCTCTTTGATCAATTTGCTAACCAAGAAAAATATGAGTTGTCAAATTAATTTTTATTCCACTTTACCGTTTAAGATAATTTTTCAACTTTTAATACATGAATTTGTACAGAATTCTAATTTCTTTTCTTCTTACAACTTTTACTCAAAACCCTCTTTTACATTTGATTTGATATAACAAATATTCTGTTAGTTTTGAACTTTAATTTCGCTGTCTTTGTGTTATAGAATTCAACAATTACAGGTAACAACAAGTGAAGGAGAGTATCAAATTCTGAGAATAAAAAATCCATAAATCAGACACAATACAAATGCAACAAAAATCTGGGAAAAAGTTAACAACAACAAATTGTAAACCAAACAGAAAAAGGAAGGAGAATCGAACAGACGCGTCAAACGATGTTCCCGACAACCACGAACTAGAGCAGCCACCGCGAGATGTGGTCACTCCACCATCCACATTTCTGGCCAGAATCCGCGCACCACTTCCAACTCGCAAGCCTCCATACGCGATGCACCTCACTCCGCCAAAGAACGCCGCCCATCAGCTCGACGTCAGCTCCTCACCACCGCCGCGAATTCGCCTGCAAAGTCGACGACGCTTCATCTATCTCGCATGCGGTCGTACCTCGCCAGCAATCTCTCCGCTCAACAACAACGCATGCTCAACTCTTACGCCGTGAGCAACGACCCCTCACCTTCGAGAGAGGTTTGTGTTTCTATTCATCATGGATGTTATAATAATATGGTTTGTTTTTGTGTTTGGGCATAAATGGGTTTAGAGAGGTGAAGGATTTTATAGAAAAAATGAGAGAGGAGGAGATTTCGTGGAGAGAAGAACAAGAAGAAGATGGGATAAGGTTCACGCTATTGGTTTCTCAATTGCTGGCGATTTGCAAATTGAAAAGCCAAATTTTATTATATGAGGGAGCATGTCTCGCCCTTCTGTGCTGAATGTTTTTTACTTCTTTATTTTGTTTTATTATTAATTGTTAGCTTTAATTAGGTTTATAGAGATTAAGTTTTGGGCCTTGGGACTTTGGACTCTCTTTAATTATTTACATATCTTAATTATTTACACCCTCTTTGCAATTAGCTAGCCTTTTAATCTAATTAATTTAATAGGTTAGTTTTATTTAGACAATTTGTTTTATTTGTATATTAATATGAAATAACAAAGAACATGTCTTTAATTTTAGATAAAATTTGTGAGACCTAATCGCATATTTTAAATATTTTCTTAATTAAATTAATTTTAATATTTTTATAAATAATAGTGATCTGACCTGATCAGAAATGGACCGTCACGGCTGGCTCCGAACAGAAAGCTTTTTTGAAAGAGGTGGGGGGGTACCTGCAAGACACTCCGATGCTGAAGTAAGTGGGAGTACGAGCAGATAATAGCAAGTTGAGGTTAGAATGATCAATACCTGACCCTCTGGAAACAGAGGGTATTTATAGCCCCCAGCGCTGGGCCAAGGTTCCTTCATTGGGTCGGGCGGATTTGGCCCAATGGAGGAACTGCCAGGTTCTACGTGGGTAGTGGGGACCCGCACATGGTCCCCTTCCTGGATGTTCTGCGTGAAGTGCGGGCGGACGAAGACGCGGTCTTTCCGGAGTATCGTTGGGGGAACGGTGGACTGAGTCTGCCCTAGTTGGGATGCTCGAGGCAACGTCGAGCTGGACAGCAGGGTGTCGAGCTGGACGTCAGGACGTGGAGCTGGACGGCAGGATGTCGAGCTGGACGTCAGGACGTGGGACTGGACGGCAGGGTGTCGAGCTGGACGTCAGGAGGTGGAGCTGGACATCACCACGTGGAGTTGGACAGCGGGATGTCGAGCTGGACATCAGGATGTCGGGCACGGATGTGACCCCTTTGCTCGGTGTGGTCCTCAGTAAGTCCCTTTGGACTGGGCCTTAGTAATGCTTTTGGGCCTGTCGGGCCCAGTCCAGAACAGGAGCCCCCCAAGTCGTGGTTCCTTTGCGAAGAGCCATGACTTGAACCCAAGTTATTCCCTCGTTGAGGTCTCGTGCCCGGGATAGAGGTGTGGGCCCTCGAGGGGCCTCCTCGTGTCGTGCCCGGAGACGTCCGCGGTGGTGGATGCGCGGAGGATCCTTACCGGGCGCGTCGGTCGAGCACACGAGGTATCTTTCGGGAACTGTGCCGCCACCCTATGGGGGTAGGGTCATCATTGCGTAGGGAGCAGTGCGTCGAGGAGATGGAGTCCGTGGTTGCCCGAGGTGACATTTGGTATTCCACGTCATCACTATAAATAGGAACCTTGGGCCCCATAATACGTTTTCTGCTCTCTGTGCTCTCTCTGCTGCTGCTCTTCCAGACTTTCTCCAGTTGCGACTTCCCGTCACAGATTCTTCCATTTTGTAGCCAAATTCCACTCTTTGATCCAAGTAAGTGATCTATCTTCTTCATTTTTCTGTTTAGAATGCATGATATCCGGCGTTTGTAGATGTTTTAGGACCGTGCGCGTGGGATTAGCCCGGTAAACTCGTGCTCAGCCCGACACATTCATGTCTAGGACCGGCAAACGCATGTTTGTGGCCGGCACATTCATAGTTTAGGTGATAAACTTCAGGGCTGCCCGGAGTCTTCATGATCCAGGGCGCCTGATTCATGATCGCGCCCGGTATGTTCATGGTCTTGGCCGTGGGCTTCATGGTGCGGCTCGCCATGTTCATACCTCGGGTCGACATGCTTGGAGAGTGGCCGCGCAGTTGGTTTGAGGAAGAACACCGGGTTCAGGGCGTCGGGGAGGCAGCCATTTGTGGAAATGGACTTATGTAGTCGTGTATGGGACGACGTGATTTTGTCGAGCATAGGACTTCGTGCTCAACTGACTGGTTTCCCGTGCTCTGCAAGTAACCATGGCGGACGAGCCGAGCTCCTCCGGACGCTGCGACCGCGAAGAACGGAGTGTCGACGAGTCGGTCACCCTGATTGATACCGTGACCGACCCATTGCTGGAATGGGTGGGCGTCGAGCCGCGGGGGATAGCGTCGGTATATAGTCGGGACGACCGACATCCATTCGCTGTCATTGAAGAGGGTCAAGACCAGCCCGGCTTCCAACAAAACTTCGTAGTTATGCTTCCGTCAACCCGTGCAAGGATTTGCTCGGTTTATCCAAATTACAGCCTCGCGATGTATGAGATCGCGTTCAAAGACCTAGGGCTGCGGCTGCCATTCACTGATTTCCAGGTCGGGGTCTTTATGCACTTGGAGCTGGCCCCGTCCCAGCTACACCCAAACTCTCTCGCCTTTATCCGGGCGTTTGAGTTGACGTGTCGATACCTGAGGATCGGGGCGACCATCCCGCTTTTCTTCCGGATATTTCACCTGCAACGTCAGTCCCGAGGAGGGAAACATAGCTGGGTCTCCCTGAAGCAGTCGAGGAGGCTTTTTAAGATGTATATGGACTCCGTGAGGGGGTTTAAAGACAAGTGGTATGTGGTACGGCCAGTTACCGACGCTGCTTTAAATTCCCTTTTCGAGGAGGAGGGGCCGGTGAGCGACGATGATGGGGAAACGATGATGGGCGACGATGGGAGCCCCGTGTTGGGTCGTAGGGCTAAAATCCCGGTATACTGGATGTCCCGGCATTACGAGCATGGGACCGGTTATTACCATACCGCCGTCGGGGACATGTGCTCGGAAGACGAGCGGGCGTACGACACTCTTTGTCGGTTTGTCGACAGTTTCCATCCCGCCCAATGGGTTACGCGGGAAGGGGATGATATCCTGGACAAAGACGGTTACCCGACGTTCGAGTCCCGTCCGATTGACACCAAGGCGCTGGTGGAGTGCCCGACATACAGGCAGGCTGCCCGCCTGTTAGGTTGTTGCTTGAAATTCTTTATTCGTCATTTACTCATGGAGTTTGCTTGATACTGACTTCTCCTTTATTTCGTGCAGGTACGATGGCTAGCCGACATGAAAGGCTCCTGAAATTATCCTGCGACCAGAGGCGAGGCAGGAGGGTCGTGAAGCCCCCACAGGCGACGAGAATGGGCCCGTCACAAAGTCCAAACGCTCCTCAGTCGGCGAGGGTGGAATCGCCGTCGAGCTCGGGGCCCGCGTCGGATCCAGAAGTCGAGGAGATCGACCCCAGTGCCGTTTTGATGCAGCGGAAGAGGACCCGTGTGGAAGGTGGTCCGACTGTCGGTGAGGACGTTGGTGCTGTTAAATCTTTCGCCTTCCCCCCTTGCTTCGAGGAGGCGGGCTTTTTCGAGCGATTTCCTCCGACAGTGGTTGCCCATGAGGCTGCCTCCATAAAAAAGATGAGTAAAGAGGAACGGAAGGCGTATCTGGCCGCCAGCGTGGATGGGCTGGTAAAAATGGCCGAAATGGCCTTGGTGCTATCTGAGGATGGAGGGGATGCTGCCCGTGTTGAAGAACTCGAGCAGGAGAAGGCGGCGCTGACCGCGAGCTCGCGGAAGTTGAAGGTCGCTCTGGAACGCTCCGAGGGGATGTTCCGAGAGCAGACCGCGATGCTCGATGCTGAGAGGGAGATGTTGACCCTGGAGAAGGAGAAGTCGGGGAAGTTGACTGAGGAAGGGGAGCTTCTTCGGGCATACAGGGATCGCCTGGCGGCCGAAGTCGAACGCTTGGGTAAACAGGTCGAGGAAATGAATGCTGCCCTGCAACCTGCCGAAGATGAGCCCGAGGACATAGTAGCTTTGAAGAGTCGGATGGAGCTGGTCGCCTACATCCGGCTCCTCGAGGTGGACTGCGTCGGTGCCCTGGAGGACGGGTTCAATTCTGCGGTCGGTCAACTCTCCTTGCTAAACCCTGGCCTGGTCACTGAGGGTATCGGTCACACACACCGGATTGTAGATGGCGTGATCGTTCCTCCGCCCGACTCTCCGAACGCTGACAATGATGATTCCGTGGAAGTCTGGGTAGGATAGCGGGCCTGCGTGTCCTTGATATTTGTATTCTTTGGGCCTGCGTGCCCGTTTATTGTATGTTATGAACATCGCCGGCCTTCTTGGTCGGTTTACTATTGTTTTGTCGCCTTCGGGCATTTATATCAATGTTGTTTTATATTTTGGATTTTTTGCCCTTGTTTGAAATCGTACATTTGCATGAATTTTTAGCCTAAGTCACGGGCCCGAGGAGTGCCCGTAAGTGGCTCTGATTTGGCGAGCGAGTATGACCGCCTCCGTTTGTATTTGTTCTCGGCCCTATTTTGATTGGCCAGAGTCACCTAAGTGGTGCGCTCGAGGGGAGAGATTTTCTTTTGACCCTTGTAGATGGCCCGTTATTCTTGATGGAATGTCGAGCTTTTCGGAGCGAAGTTGCTCAGTCGGGCGTGGAGCCCGTTAGGGACGATTCGCCCTTGGCGTGAACTGCCCATCGCGAGCTGGGTGTTCTGCCTTATGAGTACGACGACGGTGGGGCTCGGTATAACTGTCCACGTCGGGCACTATCGATCGTCATCGTTTACCGCGCGATGCTGTGCCATTTTGGTCGTATGTCGGGCTTGTACCTTAGCCTTATACGAAGTTGGACGTTTCTCCTCGTTGACCGAGCGCGGGTGCTGCTGGTCGAGGGTCCCAGGTGTTGATAGTTTCTAACTGTAGTACTGCTTTAGCTTAGCAGCATTCCAGGGTCTTGGTAATGGCTCTCCGTCTAACTGCTCGAGGTAGTACGCCCCGGTACCCGT